GCTCTTCCTTGCTACTTTCCATCCCCCAGGGGACCCCAAATCTTTACCTAGCTAACTTCCATTTGCATTCAAGCACTAGATCAGGCTCATCTTTGGAATTTTTTTTATCACTTTCTCAAGCCTAACTGTAGGAGAATGCCCTACTGAGTGCTCTCCAAACATCCTGTACAGACATTTCTCTAACAGTACTTATTACACTGTGGATAATTACGTGTTACAACTCTTTGTCCTCATCAATAGACTTGGTAATGAAGCTCTTGATGGCAGGACCATATTCCTCCATTCCTAGTACTTAGCACAGTGTTTGGCACAGAGTAGCTGTGGAACAAATGTTTGTGGAAAGAATGGATGTTCTTACGCAAATATTCATACGCAAATATTCAACAGATGTGTGCTTGGCATAAGGGAGATACATTTTGCTTGTGTGACGACTGGCAGTGGGGTTTGCTTAGATGCAAAAGCACCCAATTAAAGACCAAACATCACTTTCTTCTTCTTCTTCATTTCCTTCTCTGTATATAACTACACAATCTCACATGCTTTATAATGCTTTTAGATGTAAGTGACTGTGAATTATTACCAACTGGAAGCCTTTCATCTTTGAGACTGACAGTCGATGTTCCACATCTCTCAGGAGGGAGAAACTATTATAACTATATTTTTGCTTACCAAGAGAATTGTTAATGGTTATCCTGGAGGGGGAAAAAAAAATCTATAAATATCCAATCCGTAATGAAGCCTTAAGCTTACTTTCTTCCTTTACTAATGAAATTCTTTCCAAGTGCTTTGCCAGAATTGCAAATAACCATTACACTGAGAAAAAAGACAAAGCCTGGAGTGAGTGTTTTCTTTTACCTGTTTTGTCCTCATTTTGGACTCTGACGACAGATTGTTGTAGGTATAATGCGCCTGTGTGACTCCACAGAAGAGAACAGCGACTATCCCTGAAATAATAATAATAATAAAAGATCAGTCAAAACCAATTTTCTTTCCAGCCTAAGTAAAAAGGTAGAGCTATCCCAGCTGGAAAATGAACTTGGTGCCCGTAGAGTTAAGACTGCTAATAATTACCGTGATAAGGAAACCTGAGCAAATCTTCCCACTTCCTCTAGACATGGGTTTTGCAGAAGCAAACTAAAGAAAAGTATTCCGAAGCAGATTCTTCCTGGAAATAAATGATTCCTGGTCATGAACTAGGACAGCTACACTTGTTTATTTTTATTTATTTATTTTTTTAGAGAGATTTTTGCTATAGGGTGTGTATGCTTGCTGAAGAGACAGAAAGCGAGGAATCAACTCCCCCCCCCAAAAAGGGAGAAACCCCCCCCCCCCCCCCCCAGGAGGGATAGCCATGCCACAGTCTCCTCTCCTCTATCCTCCTCTTGGGATTTTGGATATGCATGCACACTCGCACGCACATGTGCTCGCCATAAGGCCGAGACTTGAACCATGGTTGCCTATGTGGGAGTCCAGCAATGTAACCATTATGTTATCTGTTGGTCCCAGGAAGTTCGGAAACATATGAACAAAAGGCAGTATAGTCGACTCAGCGTCTTGCAGTCAGCACCAACTGCTTTGCTGCACTTTATGCTAAATGCTGACATATTTGCTTGAACACATTTGCTTTCTTTCCATTGTACCTTGGGGAGTCTAAAGAGGTTCCTGTCATGGGCCAGCAGGTGATGTGGTGGTTAAGGCACTGGATCCCACATGGCTGACCTTGGTTCAAGTCCCAGACCTGGTGGCCTGAAAAACATGACATGCACTTGTGCATGTGTGCTCAAAATTTCAAGAGGAGAACTGAGGAATAGGGATGGTGGCATGGCCATCCCTCTAAAGGTAATTTTTCACTTTGCCTCTCCCTCTGTCTCTTTCAGGCAAGTGCATTCACCCTATGGCAAAAAAAAAAAAAAAAAAAATTCCCATCAAACTATATGTTAGTATTAATAGCCATGAGTCACAAAGTCACAAACCTAGGGCATTTTCAAGGGTTTTATTGCTGTGCTAATGTTCCCATTTGCCAAGCTACAGAGAGGAGTCCTTATTAGCTCCTATGTCTTCTTGGCAAAGATGGGTGCTCTGTCTTTCTGCTACTGAATAATATAAAGTCCCCACAGAGGCATTTTCACTCCTTGAAAGTAAACCTGTCTGTTGTTCTGTGTAACCTTCCAGCCATGACCCTCAGCTGCTCCATGGCCTACTACAGAGTTTAGTCTTAAACCACACGATGCCCAGTTCTTAAGGCCACAGAAAGTCAATCATCGACTGGATTCTCCCTGGGGAGGAAACAATGGCAACCGTGGGACAAACACGCTGTTTCTCCCTGGGCTCTGCTATTCTCTGTGTTATTGCCCTGGGGCTGGGGTGTGGGGAAGTGGTGGGAACAGCACTCTATTTAGAATTAAGAATTAAATTAATTATGGGAAATTGGACATGGAGGAGGGCTTAGGAAAAAAACACAAGATATAAGTATTCCTCAACTAGGCCAAGGGGATTGAAATGAATTTTAAGCAGCAGACTCTTCCCAACTAAAAACACTCATAAATTAAATGCTGATGATTCTTAAGAGAACGGAGATATGTGAACAGAATACTGACATTTCAAATGAATCTACAATAAAGAATTTTAGCAGACTGAGCTTCTTTTTCTATGTGTAGACTGTGTACATCTATTTACATGTCGGTTATTGTTTAGGTTGATGTTGGATAAAATATTTCTAAGGCATAGTCACATAAGTACATAGGTATTTCCATTACTTATTTCCTTTGAACATTGTGCTTCAACACTTTAGACAAAAGAATATAAAGAAATGGAATTTCTTCTAAGAAATATCAGTCATAGTACCTACAGATCTTTTGTAAATATTCAGTTTGTTTAGCATCTTACAGAAATTCTAGGGGAAAAATACCTATGAAATATGATATTTTAATCTTCACAAAATTTCTCTTATAAAAACAATAAATACCAGAAAAACTTTTAGAGTGCTAAAGCATTCTAAGTATCTTTTTTTTTGTTTTTAAACTATTATTTTATTTAACTTTATTTATTATTATGATTTTCCAGTTTGATCAGAGAGAGACGGAGAAAGAAAGAGAGGGAAAGTGAGAAAGGAAGCCACCAGGTCCAGGACTTGAACTGCGGTCGGCCATGTGGGAGTCCAGCACTTTCATCACCATGCCACCTGCCAGTCCCAAGCATTTTAAGTACTTTGAGACACTAAGATTGCCATCACAATTGTTTTGGTATTGACTGTTTTTATTTATTTAAAAATTTGATTCATTTCTGTCTGTCCAGTCCATAATCTGTTGGAGCTTTTCTGGGTGAGCTGTAGCTGACCTTCCTGCGGTTGTGGAACTACTTGACTGCATCAATCTGTGGAGAAACAGTGAATGAAAGGGCAGATGTGTGTAAGTAGTGACTAAATTCATTGTGAGAATAAGAATCGGTAACAAAGAAGTGCTATAAAGGATAGGAAAGGGATTAAGATTGTTGGGACAGGCCAGTCTGTCAGTGGTGGTTAAAGTGGCTAGATCCCACATGGTTGACCATGCAATTCGAGTCCTGGACCCTGTGGCTTGGAAAACAAGGTGGGTGTGGGACCAACAGATAGTGCAGAGGTTACATTGCTAAATTCCCACACAGCCAAGCACAGTTCAAGTCCTGGACCTGGTAGCTTCAAACTTATGCCAGGTGCATGTGCATGCGTGCCCAAGATCCCAGAAGAATGGAAGAGAAGGGATTGTGGTGTGGCCATCCACCCTGGGGGATGATTTCACATTTTCCCTCTCACTGTGTCTGTCTCTCTCCAGCAAGCACATACACCCTAAAGCAGAACCCTCTAAAACATAAAGAAAGAAAGAAAAAGAAAAACAAGCTGGGTGTATCTGTGTGCCTAAAATCCTGAAAAGAGGAGACATGTACAATGGGCCAAGAATGATGTTTCATTTATATCTTTTCATTTATTGCATTGGTTTATTATCTCACAGCAGGTATACCACAATCAACCATTCTTTCCTACTGTTTTTCTCTTCTTCATAGAAGCAATTCTATTTTTCTGCTGATCGGGTCAAATTTTTGAGACCATCCTTCCTTTCTTTTTTAAAATGTATTCATTCTTTATATTTTCTATTTGCTACAGGGCACATGGAGAGAGAGAGAGAGAGAGAGAGAGAGAGAGAGAGAGAGAGAGAAAGCACCTGTACTCCCTTCTCTATTCTTCTCTCAGGATTTCAGGACTCACACACACATCTAGTGTGCTTTTCAGGCTGCTGGGTCCAGGACTCAAACTGTGCAATCAGCCATGTATAATCCAGCCACCTTAACCATCATGTCACAGGCTGACCTCCCTTTCTTTTTTACATATCAGCAATTTTGTCATTTTGTCCTTCAAAACTTACAGAGCCCAACCACTTCTCAACACCCCCACTCCTAATATCCTTTCCTAAGCCACCATATTTGGCTTGGACTATAGTAATAGGTTTCTCACTAGCTTCCCTGCCTCCCCCGTTGGCCCCTCGCAATCTGTTTATTCAGGAATAGTGATTCTTTAAAAATAATTCAAGTTGGGGCCAGCAGGTGTGCAGAGGTTAAAGCGCTGGATTCCCACATGGCCGACCACTGTTTGAGTCTCAGACCCAGAAGCTTGAAACTCACACCAGGCACTTGTGTGTGTGTGCCCAAAATCCTGAGAGGAGAGAGGAGGGAAAGGATTGCAGTGTGGCCATCCTCCTGGGGTGGGGGTGGAGATGATTTCTTACTTTCTGTGTCTTGGTTGAGTGCACAGGTCCTACAGCAAAAATCTCTCTAAATTTTCTTTTTTTTTTTTTTTAATTCAGATCATGCCATTCCTCTACTAAAAACTTCATAATGGATTCCTCTGGCTTAAAAGACCCTATGGAATGGAATCTGGCCTCACATCTTACCTCCCCACAATTCTCTGACCTCGCCTTTCATACTATCCCCTTGTCCTCACTAGGCATGTCCCACTGTTTGGGAAGTCCTTCTCCCAATATCCACATGGTTCACTCCTTTCTTAAGAAGTCTGTTCAAATCTTATATTATCAGATAGGTGTCCTCTACCACTCTGTAAAAATAATCCCCTCTCAGCATTCCCTACTCACCTATCCTGCTTTCCCCCCATATTATGTACCGCCATGAGACAGTCTACATTTTTACGTGTTTATTTTCTGCACTATGATGCAAGGCTCATTGAGGGCAGAGATTCCAGTCCCTGGCCCTTGCACCAGTACTGGGCATCTGGTAGGAACTCTGTGAGTATTTGTTGAATAAGTAAGTGAATATTCCTATCCCCATTAAATAAGTAGCACACTAACGTAATTTCTGCAAGGTCACTTTGAAAATAGTAGAGCTCAGACTTAGTATTCCAGAGAATCCTTGTGCTTTTCTGCCTGGATTTAGATCACCCATGAATGTTTTAAGGTAGTCTTAAGCCATATTAAAAACATCATTTCTAATATCCCAGGGAAAGAGTCTGAGATTTGATGAAGAAGATTATATATCTGAGCTGGCTGGGCTTGTCACTTGAGGGTATTTTCTCTAGTCACTCCTTTGGCCTTCATCTCCTTGCCTCCAGTAGAACACTAACAGCGGATCTTCTTGCTAAATATTCTCAAGTATTGTGTATATGTTTATAGATCACATAATCAGCAAATGATGAGGGTTTACCTAGATGACCAGAGGCTGGTGGGATAATTAAAATAAAACAACAAAGTTGATTTGACCATTAGTATTAGCATACATAATCAAAACTTTATAGCTTAGTAATTAAAATCACACAAATGATTGTAATTAGTATGATTTTTATAAGTCAAAACACATTTTGAACATGTCCCATTCGAAGATATCTATTACCATATCATTCTTTACCATAGAAAAAGGTCCCAAGTTGACAGTGTCCTGTTTTTTTTTTTTTTCCTAGAGATAT